TAGCTTCAGGAGAGAAGCTGGTAGAAATGCACATTTCAGGTACCACCCAGAACTACTGAATCAGAAACCTTAGGGGTGATCCCCTCCAGGTGATTCTGAAGCCTGAAAAAGTGAGAGACTCTCTAGTCTGCACCAAAGTTGCATTCGCTGGCTAGTTAACTTTTTCTTTTGGTTTTACTGGCTGTCTAGTAGCCACTGCACTTAAAGGCATCATGCATTAATGAAATGCAGAGAGGGTACCTTCCTTAACAATAAAAGCCCAGGGGGATGCCCTCCTTGGTCCCTGCAAGCCCACAGCTCAGCTCCTCTCAGGACTTAGAGTGAGAGGAGGTTAGATTCCAATGCAGCAGCTGCAGTCTTGCCCAGCTCCCAGATCTCCTCCTGGATAAGCTACCTGCTCTCTAATCTTCGACTCCAGGTCAGCTTTGCTGAAACCCAAACCAAGACATGTGGCGATGGCCTATTGCTTCTTCCTGGCTGCTCTTGTGTATGCAGCACCATTCTTGAAAGACTCAACTTAAGGATCATCTCCTCCCTGAAACTTACTCTGGCTCCCCTCATCAGAAATAACTGATCTTTCCCCAAGCTATCTATTTCTTTCTGTTTTACACAGAGCAGATGGCCAGTCACTTACACTTCCGGTGCTATGGTCTGAATGTTTGCGTGCCTCCCAAAATTCCTATGTTGAAATCCTAACCCCCAAGGTGTGGCATTAGAAGGTGGAGCCTTTGGAGTGATTAGTCATGAGGGTAGAGACAGTCACAAATGGATTAATGAATTATAAAAGGGACCCCAAAACACACTCTCCCCAATTCTGCCATGTGTGGTTACAGCAGGAAGGTGCCTCTATGAAGCAAGAAGTGGGCCCCATCGGTCACTGAATCTGCCTTGAACTTGGACTTCCCAGTCTCCAAAACCATGAGAAATAAATGTTTGTTTCTAAGCCACCCAGTCTGTGTGATATTTGTCATAACAGCCTTGATGGACTGAAACACCTGGCTGGACTCTAAGATCAGAGGCCAGGCCCCTCTACAATCCCTGCGAGCACTGACCATGTACTCCAAGAAGAGACCTGCTCCTATTCATCTGATGAACTGAGGGAAAACAGACTGATCCCAAAGGACCAGAGAAGGAAGGATCAGGGGGCACAGGAAGTCGGGGTACTGCCCTGCCTCCACGATGACTCAGCTCATCTTCCCTGTTGACTAGAAGCTGCACTTTCAAGGAATCTTCACTGGGATATGAAGGATGCCCTCCAGCTCCTTCTCCTACCAACAAGCCAGGAGACATCTTTGTTTAATGAGAAATCTCTCTTGTCAATTTGCATGAAATTTAAGACTTGTTTTATAAATGCCACCCAAGAATTCTTTTTTCCTTAAAACTTCTCTAGTTATCCAAGATGAGAAATAAAAGGCAGCAGAGAAATCAGGTCAGGGTGAATAAAGAGGAGAAAAGTATCGATTGGTTGAAACGGGTGTGCAATCCCTGGGCAGATCTGCGGGGCCTACCCATGGGGCAGATTATTTAATAAAGGGCTGCACGGAGTAAGGGGAGGCCTTGAAGAAGCCACAACACTTAACAGATGAAAACTCCCTGAAGGCCTCAGCAAAAAGACACTGCAACCTTTAAAACTGTTAGTTGGCAAGAGCATGGTGTGTTGTTAGTGGGGTCAAGCTAGAGAGCTTAAACTAGACAGACCACCTGAGGATCTAATGCTAATCAGGCAAGCCAATCAGGTACTAGCTGTCACTAGGAAATACAATATATTCAAGACTTCATCTACCAATTTCTCTTATGCCGAATATAACTTGCCATTCTTTTCCCAAATGTTCTTTGTTAGGGAGATATAAGTGAAAGTGATATTTTTATTCTAAGACCTAGCTTTTGCCTTTCTTTAGGTTCATGGAGAAAGATCAAGAACAAACAAAAACAGCTAGTCTTCATCTGACTTACCAGAGGCCCCTTCTGCCAGGGCTAGGGTACACCTGTGAAGATCAGGGAAGGAAGAGCTCTGCCGATCATAAGGGGAGGCTGAGCCAGGAGGGAGTCTCCGGGAGGTAGTGCGATGGAGGATCCTGTGGCTGACCCTAACATTCATTCTACACCAGGGAGCTCATCCAAGCTAGACATAGACATTCCAGCTCTCTTGCCAGGCATTGGGTTAGGCCAGTCCATCTCAATCCTCAAGGACTGCTACAACGTGCGGCTGCTGGGCCCCACCCTCGCAACTTCTGATGTAGCAGGTATGGCGCGAAGCTCAGGAACCTGCATTTCTACCAAGTGCCTGAATGCTGCTGGTCCAGGGCTACACTATTTGAGCCACTGATTTGGACAAAGACAGGCGACCCAATACTGAGAGACTATGCCGAGGGACTTCTGGGGAAGGCTTCTTTGCTCATAAGGAGACACCAGAGGAGGTAACCCTGTCCAGTCTCTGGACCATTTGTGACAATGGAGATGTTCTTTTACCTGCTCTGTCCAATTTGGTAGCCACTAGCCAGAGTCGACCACAGAGTACTTGAAATGTGACTAGGGTGACTGTTGAAACTTGAAATTTTAATTGTGTTTCATTTGAATTATTCTGAATTTAAAAGCCATTTTGGCTCCCGTCATGGAAATCGTAGCCCTGGATATCGTCAGGTCTGGATATAATGGCTGGAACATGCTGCTACATATCCTTGACCATCAATCAGCCTAAAGGGTAAGACACCACACAGAGGATCGCAGATCCACATCCTGATGTACTCAGCCCAGATCGGTGCTTCTTATTATGTGAGATCACACATTTCTTTATTGTTTAAGGCAATGTGAGTAGGTAACCCCTACTGCTGCACCCACAAAGACATGGAAGTCAGCCTGCAGAAAAATGGAGCTACTCACCCCAAGGACAACGTCACCAAACGCAGAAGAGTGAGAGAAGCAAATCTTGGTTCTCGGTGAACTTAAGAGGTTTTGACCTGAAAGGGTGCAACCTGGTCTTTCAGCATTCAAGATCTGGGCACAGACAGCATTGCTTTCTGCCTGCCTGCTGACAAGTATCCGGGGACACTGCTGACCACTCCATCCCAAGGTTCATTAGGTGTGTGGGGAACCGAATGTTGGGTTACTGACAAAAGGCTTCTTCCAGAGCATGTGAAAGTCCAGCTACACAAAACACACCTCCTGCTCTGGCTTAAAATTCCACCATTAACGATATTTGCTATGGTTTAAGCGATAGATCTCTCTGGAACCCCTTTTTAAATGCAAATGATCCTAGGAAAGGTACTGCTTTAAGCCTTGAAGTGTCCATGTGAATGAGTCTGTGACATATCTGTTAGATCATTGGACCTTGTACCCAAGGGGAGGAGGGAGCAAAAAAGGGTGAGACATGAGAGGGGCAAGAGGTGCCCTTAGGCTCCACCAGTTCAGTTTTACAAAAGCCTCACCTTACCGCTCTCCTTATCCTGACCGCCCCCCACCACATGCACTTCCTGAAAGGTGGTCCCAAGTTCAAAAATCGGACAATCCCATCATTCAATCAATGTGTCTCATGGACCCAAAGTAGGAAGGATGAAGTGATACTCAGCAGCTCTTGACTATGGTCCCAAGAGTCCTCCCTGAAGCCTAAACAGGATAAAGGAGCCTGTGAGGGGCTGAATTGTGTCCCCCCAAAAGATGATCAAGTCTTAATCCCCAGTAAATGTGAATGTGACCTTATTTGGAAATGCGGTCTTTACAGATGATCAAGTTAAGATGAGGTCATACTGGAGTATGGAGGACCCCAAACCAATGACTGGTGTCCTTTTTAAGAGGGGAAAACTGGAGACAGACACACAGGGAGAACATCATCTGAAGATGAAGGCAGAGACTGAGGTGATACATCTACAAGCCAAGGAATGTCAAAGATTGCCAACAACCACGAGAAGCCAGGAAAGGCCTGGAACAGATCCTAACCTAGTGCCTTCAGAGTGGGCATCGCCCTGCCAACACGGCACCTTGATCTCCAAGAATTCTAGCCCCCAGAACTGTGAGAGAATACATTTCTGTCTTGTAAGCCACTCAGTTTGTGGCACTTTGTTATGGCAGCCCTAGCAAATGAATGCAGTACCCCGCTACAGTACCTGTCTTCCCTTCTCATCCCTCTGACCTCACTTATTCATTTAACTGTTTCCCCCATAGACCCTAAGACCCACAAGCACAGGCACCACACCTGCCTCTTCACCACATCCCAAGCCCACTTCTGGCACACTGGAGGCGTCTGTAATGATAGTCAATTAACACACGAAAGGTCTGCTCTGGCTAGCTGTGGAATCTCTGGCAACAGACTCCCCTCCGTCTATATGAAGGAAAACCAAATAAATAGACCAGATAATCTCTGTGAGCCTTTCTGACTCAAAACTACAGGACTCACCACTAAAGGTGTATCTAACCATCAAGGTCAGATCAGAACACCAGAAACCACACTAAGAGTATTATATAGAGGGCATGTAAAAGGCAGTGTGTCACAGAAGGATGGGACAGCTGGAGGACTATGACAACCTTTCTGCTGGGATGTCTTCAGTGAAATGAAAGCACACTATGGGCTTCTGGAAACATATCCATTCTAGCATGGACTGGCTACTCCTGTCCCTAAGGCAACAACTGCAGTGGGCTGTCCCTGTTTACAAAGGACAGCATCAAAAGGGGCCAGTCTCATGGATGGGTGGCTTTGGATGGGTGGGGCAACAGGCTCACTGATAAGTCTTACGCCCTGAGTAGGTGAAAAAAACAGCAATATATGTGCCTCTCCCAGCGCCCACCTCCCTTCCAGTGCTGGGGCCAGATTTTTGCCCTCCTCCATTAAGAGAAGGTTTTGCTGATTAGAGAAGATGTGAATGGAATCAACGGAAGCTGACCCCATGAGTGATTTGAAAGGTGAGGGCCAACTTCCCACCCCACGAATCCAGGACTGCCCTGGCTCACACCCACACCCTTTTCCCGCCTGGTGTAGAAAGAGGGGTATGTGGGAAGGTGGTACTCACCCACACTGCTGAGGGAGCTGCTGCTTTCTGAGTCTGAGGGCATGATGGACAAGACGCTGTAGGTGGAGCCTGGGGACAGAAAGGGAAACCATTTGTTACTAACTCCAAAGGGGTCTCTTGTCTATGCCCCAGACCACTGTCAAACCAATGGATCTTCAGTCATCACCAGGCTGAGTACCCACACTGCACCAGGGACTGGAAATCAGATTCAAGGGGCCAAGAAGGGGAGGTGCGGTCAGCAGGGCCTAGTGTTTGGTGTTTCTGCCTCACCTCCTGCCACCCTTTTGCTCTGGAGACCGATCTATGCACAGGTAGAGGGGAACCTGGCCTCGGTCAGCTGGCTTCTTGTTGGGATACCTGAAGAAAAGCTTAGCAAGGGAGCAACAGGTCCCAGGTTAAATAGAGTCCAGAGAGTCCCAACAGATTTTTATCAGTATGACTCTGGCTTCCATGCAGAGGGTAGCAGAGCATAAATTAAACATCTATGGACTATTTGTTCTTTTTGCCTGATGATTCTGCTCTTAGTATTCAAGCTCAGTCCTTAATAATTTAGCCAGTATTTGCCCCCTTACTAAAAATTACTCATAAAATTATCAGCAATTACGTTGTCATTAAAGCATCAGAGAAAATCTCTGGGTCAGGAAACCCAGTTTCTGAACCCAGCTCTTATCCACGTGTGAGTAGCTGGGTGACGCTGGGCAAATTGCTTCAGTATTCTGAAACTCTGTTTCCTGGTCTATAAAATAAAGCAGTTTAACCAGATAGCTTACAAGGTCCTTTCCCCTGTCCCATTTTAGCAATTACATTCTCCACTGATTAATGAAAACATAAGGTATGCTTTGTTTATCAGGTCTACAAGGGACACAAAATTAAGAGGGTGCAAAGACTCAGACTAAATTGAGAGTCAAAAAAAGCACAACATGCAGAGATGGTGGGTCAAAAAAACAAGATAATGGGAAGGATGCAATGTTTTGTTCTAGAACCAAAAGAATTATACAATGAAAAGGTATATACACAGGGCAGAGTGAGCCAGAGATGAGTGAGCCAGAGATGAGATTTTAGTCGTAAGGCCTTTGAACAAACCTTAGGACTTTAGTGTCAGAAAGTGGCCAAGAATTAATGAGATTTTGGGCTCTGAGACCAGAAATGTTGGGGGCAAGTTTAAGGGGTTCTTTCCCATCTCAACTCTTGACAAGCCACCTATGTGTGCACACTCTCAGGAGGGAAAGAAGAGAGATAAAGAGATGGGGGTAGATAGGAGAGAGGGAGAGAAAGAGGCACTCATGGCGAGGAGGAGACCGCCTGGGGACAGAAGAGACCCCAGGGAAGACCTAAGGGGAGGACATGAAGACCACATGGAGGACAGAGAGATGAAGAGCCGTGGTACAACAGTGCACACGTGAGCTAACAGGTGTGCCCACCTGAAAAAGAGATGAAAGGGGAGAGAAAAAGAGAAAACAAGAAAAAAGGAACTTCGGTAAAAACTAAAACGGTGGCCAGGAACGAACATTAAAGCATTTTCTGAGAATCTCTGAAGAACCAGTGGGTGTTTAGCATGGACTGTAGAAGATGATTAGGGGAGTAGGCAGGTGTTTTGTCTTCAAGTAGGACGGCCAGAAGGGATTCAATTTGTTCATTACAGCTTCCAGCAGCAGAACTGGCAACAGCAAGTAGATGCTGGAGAAAGCTGCAGGTCAGGATGGCCTAACAGGCAATGCTGCCCCAAGATCCCTGGCAAGGATATCAGAGGGGAATTTGCACATAATTTGAAGGAAGATAGAACCAGAAAAATGAAAAATGAATAGCAATGTTCAATAAAAATACTCCCTGTACTTCAAGTTCAACCCACACTATTCATTTTACTGTCCATTCAACACTTCTGCATTTTTGTCTTAAATAATGAGCATCTCAAATCGTCACTCTCCCCAGATCATAAATGTTAAGCATGTGTAAAGATCTGTAAACTAAAGTCAGATGTAATTCAGGCAATCCATTGATGTCTTCTAAGAACAAGAGTAGAACATAGTGCCTATATTTTTAAACTCAACTGCCATCTTCTTATCTTTTTTTTTTTTTTTTTTATGGGGGCAAGGAAGGCTCGTCGGCTGGTATGTTGGTGGACTATTTTCAAAAGGTGCCTCCTTGGAAAAGCAGGCACAAATAAACTCTCCCACTCACACCTAATCCTGCTCGCAACACTGAGAACACCCAGCTGGTGCTCCGGTAGATGCTCCCTGCAGGAACGTCTTGCTTCTTTCTTATTATTGGCATCAGCAGTGTCCCATCTTCCAGTAAACTTTTTTTTGAAGGATAGTATCTTTGATGTTGTATCTAAAAGAGCTTCGCCATATCTAAGGTCATCTAGGTTTTCTCCTAAGTTATCTTCTAAGAGTTTTATAGTTTTGCATTTTACATTTAGGTTTATGATTTGTTTTGAGTTAGTTTTTGTGAAGGGTGTAAGGTCTGCATCTAGATTCTTTTTTTTTTTTTTTTTTATGGGGGCAAGGAAGGCTCGTCGGCTGGTATGTTGGTGGACTATTTTCAAAAGGTGCCTCCTTGGAAAAGCAGGCACAAATAAACTCTCCCACTCACACCTAATCCTGCTCGCAACACTGAGAACACCCAGCTGGTGCTCCGGTAGATGCTCCCTGCAGGAACGTCTTGCTTCTTTCTTATTATTGGCATCAGCAGTGTCCCATCTTCCAGTAAACCACCCCTCCTCTTCAGACTGTCGCTCTCCTCCCCCATGGCAAGTTTCCACTGTTAATTAAACTTGGCAGACACCCTTCTCTCTCTTCTCCCATCTCCTGCCCTGGCTGGGGGAGTCAACTGACCAATCAACGCATTCTGTTCCTCTTCCTTGACCCTAAAGTCCTGAAAGGGATCTGGGGCCTGACCTAGCGGGCAGTGTGACATCTCTGTCTGCATCTGTGGGTATCACTACCCCCAGGTCAGCCGGCAGGGCTCCTGGGATCTAGGGGTGGGGGCCAGCAGGGAGCGATTAAAATTGGACAGGGTCCAGTTTTTACAATGTTCCCAGGGCCTTAGACGTCATTCGGGGGGGCGGAGGGGAGGCCCAAAGACGATGTTGTCTTGGTCATGCTTTGTCTCTTCAGCTATTGTTGTCTTAAAAAGCTTGTGCGGTCAGGACTGTCGGGAAAAAGCAAAGGAGTCACTCTCCTCCAAAGTCACACGGTGTCCTTTCAAAGCCGGTGCTTCTGAGGAGCGGGTGCTGGGAGTCAACTGCCTCTGAGGTTTCACAATCGAGAGGCCAACAGGAGTCCTGTCTCACAGGCATGCACTTTCCTGCCCCTCACAGCCCCATCACTCTTGGCCACGTGAAAGACAATTACCCCCAAGGCTCCCTGAAGGCACCTGCACCCCACCTGCACTGAAACCTAAGGCAGATACTCCACCTCGTGGAGAGGCCCAGAGTAACGAGCTTCCCCACCGAACTGCCCCCAGGCCCTCCTCTTCCACCCCTCATACCCACAGGCAGCAGGCACTGTCACTTAGGGCGCTCCCCACAATCTCATGCAACCCTGTGCAGAGGTCCTGAAAGTCAGAGGATCTGACACATTTATAGCAAAGGAGAGAGAGCATGAGCCCAGGTTTTCATAGCAGTGTGGACCAGAGAAGGGTTCTTTACTGCCACAGGAATTACCTGGGGACCTGCATAAAGTGCAGGTACTGGCTGGGCAGATAGAGTGAGGCCTGAAACTCTACATTTCTAACAAGTGCCCAAGGAACATGGTCCATGGACAGAATAAATGCGGGACACCAAGGCTGACCAGAGTCAGCAGATGGGATGCAAACGAAAGCCATGGCAGAAGCCCTGGGAGAGAACCAGCAAACTCTTTGGGACTAGCCTGGGCCACGTACTGTGTCCTTCCCAAGAGCCCAGCAGGGTCCCTGCTAATTGTGTTTCCTTTATGACTCAGCCCCATCGGATTATAGAGATCACTTCAAAAGAACTTCCACTAAAATCACTCTAGCGATAACGCAGACTATGGGGCACAAGAGACAGAAGAATTTCCCCTAACACAGCCCTCCATTCACCTGGAGCTTGTCAAGGCCACAGTGACTCACACTTTCTCCCTGTGAAACCCACAATGCGGGGGGGACTTGTTTTAGCCTTGAGCCAGCACGCAGTCCTCCCTGAGCTCCCAGGAGGGTGAAGAGAGGCTGGCCTGCCTATCTGACTTGAGACAGCTCTGATCTGGGAGGACATGCAACCTCACCCCAAGCACCTGAGAAAGGAGAGGGAGAAGGCAAGCTACCATCCCCTCAGGGCTCAGTAACAGAGTGGGCAAGTGCTGCCTGGTCCCAGGGTGAGAGTCACCACCAGGCCACTTGCCTCACCTTGAGACCCTCTCCTGGTTCACACCTGAGGAACCACAACCAGCACACAAATGACAGAGGATGCACACGTTCGCCAGGTTCCCCAACGCATGCCTGAGCCCTGCAAAGCACTAGGCCAGGTCTGACAGAAAAAAGATGAGCAGGGGCTGAGGAGGGTGCGCCACTGCTAGGAGACTCTGGAAGTCTGTGGAAGTCCCTTCCCCTCTCTGAGCCTGGGGCACTGGTCTGTAAACCAAGGCTGCAATGACCAGGATACCGATGGGGCGCCAGCCAGCCTGGCTTCGACTCCCAACTCGGCTACTTAGCAGCTATGTGCCCTCAGGTAAGTTACTCAGCCTCTCCCTGCCTCCATGAGCTTATCTGTAAAATGAGATAACAGGTGTGCTTACCTCACAGAGGATCAACTGAGTTAATGTAAAAAGGGCTTGAAAAAGCACCTATGCAGTCAGCAGTCCAAGTGTTAGCTGCTGCTGCTATTATGGTCAAATCATGAACCTTCCAACCTGCCCTTCTCAATCCTTTGATTACCTAAATTGAAAGCTGTACTAGAGTGACACGGTCACACAGTTCACAGTGACAAACTGCTGGACTATACAACTCTCACTAACAACAACAATAGCAGCTACCAGGCACGAAGCACCATTAGTGCTGGGATGTGTAAGTGCTGTGTGCGTGTTGTTTTGGTTAATCTCCACTTTACAGAGGAG